TGGTTAATCAGGCCCAGGCAAGGTTCCAACTCACCACCACTGCACACTAACCACTGAGCTATGGCTTCCAGCTACCACTCAGATCTTAAGAAATGAGTCTACATGGGAACCCAGGTCAATGTAACAGCAAGGCCAGGCTGCTTCCACCAGCTTCTACCACCTGTCCACTCCCTACAGATGCCTGCACTGTGACTCTCTTGTCTCTCCTGACTGGCCACTACACAGGCTACTTAAATTTCTGAAGTCCATAAGCTCCAGGACTTAGGCTTCTCGGTGGAATCAAGGGAATGTGAATAACCAAAATCTGGCAGTGGTTTACTGTAGCCCATACACCCCTTGCACACAGCAGGTGGCCAGGAACAAAAATTTTGGCCCACAAGGTCAAAAGCTATTTTCTGCCAACTGTCCACCCCCCTGGTTGGTCATGGAGGCAGAGGGATGCAGAGGCAAAGCCGCCAGGCCAGTCTCTAGTCCTTACTCACCCGCTGATTGGCCCTGCCTGATCTCCACTGTGCACACTGGTGACACAGGTAGAAGAGACTTCCTTGCAGGAATGGCAGAAGACAGGAGACAGGATGCACAAAAAGCCACTTCATAACAGGGTGAGGACAGATAGGAGGGTGACTAACCTCCTGGTAGCTGCCTGCACTATCAGTAAAAGGCTGGACAGAGCGAGCATGGAGAAGCAGAGGGAGCTACGAAATCTTGTCACCAGGTCACCCGCACCCCTGGCAAATTAAAACATCCTCCTCCTCTTCCATGCCTTGGTTCAGCAGAAGCAGCATGAGTCCTGCATCTCCATTTCTCCAGCCCACAGAAGTCCTCCCTCAAAGCTCAGTCAGTCAGCCACCCTCTTCATTTAAGTATGTGAGTGTTTTCAAACATTCTAGTCTCCAATTGCCTAAACAGCACCCCTCGGATTGGATCTCTGCAGAAGGTTGGGGTCACTCTTTTTTCCACTCCATGTTTTTGAGGTCTGTCCCCTTTACCCAGTGAACAGCCAGGTGTTCTCACTGGGCCAGTAGCAGGAAAGGCCCAGGAAAAAGAAGAGCATGGTCTGCAGTGACCGAGAGACAGGATGCAGAAACCTGAAAGGGCAGGGGAGCCAGGTAAACAAAGAAGGGGATTGAGACCAAATGCAGTCCCTGGATATAGAGCCCCGTGAGGGGAAAAAAAATCCCCAGATACAGGTCTCTAAAAATAAAAGATAACAAAACAGCATGAGCTTTTTCTCTTTTCTGATATCGTGTTTCAATATGTAAGGAGGACCAACAACAAACCAATTGTGAGCCTAGCCTCCTGGCCCCTCTACACGATTGGAAAAGTAAATTCTCAAACTCAGCCTAGAAAAAGTGCTCCGTACTTCACTGCTGCATATTACTCAGGTCACCTTCGAAGCACCTAGCCCACCCTTTAAAGTAGCTTTTCTAGAATGAGCTTGAGAACTTAATTGTCAGACCTTACATGACAACAGCTCTGATGTTCATTCCAAAAATGAGTTCCGTAATTGCTTTGAAGGGTGAACCAGGCACTGGCATCAATGCATCCTTTTAATAAGAGTACTTCAAAGGCGACTGTAGTGATTATTTGTCAATGAGCTACGTAGCACTTTTCCTAGGATGAGTTTGTGAACTTAATTGTCCAACCTTGTACATTCTGCTCCTCTCTCATTCCCTTCAGCAGCCCCAGCCCAGCCCTTCCAGGTATTGTACATACTTACCCTGTTCTCTTATTCTATGAGGGCCAAGAACTTTCAGAACTTCCTCATGTCAGAACTTAGCAGTTGTACATCCCACTTTCTGTGGCAGAGAACCTCAGAGCGGAGAACCAACTGGAGGCCAACCTGATCCCTGGGCCAGAGAACAGATTCTCTCAAAGCCCTCACATGTCTGATCATGTGGGACTGGACAAGCTCCTGCTTTCAGGTAACCCATGTCATCTTTATAGGATTAATTTCCATGTAGTCTCCTAACCCAAAGCAATGATTTGCTGATTTTCACCTTAAAGCCCAGTACTAAGGTAACAGTGAGAACCATCTAAGCCTCCCTCTTCCCCCTGCCTGCCAGGAAACTCAATAGTCCAACTAGCTAACAGCTGTGGTGCAGATGATCCTCATGACCACAATGAGTGGGTTCTTTTTCCCTTATAGACTCTGAGAAATGCAGAGATGTCTTAGCCCGGTTTCAAAGACACTTTAACATTGTTATATAGGTTATTTTTTCTCAGATTTTCCTCAAATATCTCGTTTGCGGAATTGGATCATTATTATCACACAAAGAGGCCTAGCACAGTAAACATTTGGGGCACATGTGGAAGGTAAGGAAACTTCCAGCAAAAAAGACCCAATTATGCGGCTTCCTCCAATCCCAGCCCATCACCCGCAAGTGACAGCCCCAGGCGGCAGACCAGAACTTGTTCGGCAACGCCCCAGACTAACCCCGCCTCCAAGGCTAGAGCCACAGAGCCACGCCCTGCGGCGGGGGTCTCTCAGACTGCTCCGGGGGCACCCGTCCACCCCCATCCTTTCCTTCCACGCACAGCGCTGGGAATGCTGTCCAGATGGGGGGAGGGGCAGCGGAAGGTAGTGGTGTTAACAATCGGTGACAGAGGGTCCCACTCATTTCCCTAGTCTATTTTACGACTTTGAACTCGGTATGCAAATTTATGCAAGGCAAAATGCAAAGCAGTGCTCTGAGCCAGAAGTCCCGTTGCTTTTTCCCCCTCTTTTTTTAAGCTGCACTGAACCACTGTAAATCAGTGCGGGCCTCTTCTCCCCTTCCTTCTCTCCCAGCAACTGCAGATGCAGAGCTGCCCCGCCCGCCCGCCTGTCTGCCCTGGGACTTTGACTGACTGCACATTTCTATAGCACCTTTATATGTGCAGCGGCCCAGACGGCCTCTAGGGCGCCCCGCCCCTCGGCATAATCCCCGGCATTGTACACCGCAGGGAAGGAGGCTGGGGAGACGCCGAGGGCACCAATCCAGCCCGGCCTCGATTCTGAAAGGGCCCGGCCTGGCCCATGCCTGCTCCTCCTCTTCCCCTGACATTTCTAGGCACTTCTGCCCACTCCACCACCAAACACACCCACATGCTTTTAAAGTCCTGGTTTCAGGCAGATCACGGGGGTCCTCCTTCCATTTTCTTCCAGGCCTAACCTCTCGGCCCCTTTTATTACTTCACAGTTTCTTTGAACCAAGAGGTCGGAGGCCATCATCCCCACGGATGCAGGCTCACCATCACCCACTTCTTCTACCCGCCCACCGATGTGCCTCCCCCGCCCCCACCGCCCGCATCTCTGCCATCCCCAGGAAGCCAGAAACACAGCCCCTGAGTCCTGGGAACAAAGACAAAAGAGCTAACAGCAAAGCCGGAACTACTGGGGTTTGCTGTCTCGAAATAAGAGGGTATGTTTAAAATTCTCAAAAGCAACCTGCTCAAAGAGGAATGCAGTGGGGGTGGGGGGGGAGTGCTCGTTCCTCAGAGAAGAGGGAAGATGGAAAAAGGAGAGTAAGAGAGAGCAGGACTCAGTGTGAAGGTCTGGCATGGGCCAGTCCCCAGCCCCCAACTGTGACCCCAGGCCCTGCCCTAGCCCAAAACGCTCTCCCGCGCTGAAGCCTCCAACCTTACTCCCTCTCCTCCCTGTACGCCTGCAAGGCCAGGCTTCTCCCAAAGAGCTCCTCTCCCCAGCCCCACTCTTGTTCTAATCTCAGGCACCCCCGATGTTGGTCACTTCTTCCCAGTGCTCCTATTACCCCACCCCCACGCCCCTGCTTAAGGTCCCTTCTTCCCAGGCCGCAGAACAAGAGGAAAAGGCAGAAGGTGTCTGGGCACTGGGAGAAGGCTGAGGAGGCAGCTGGGGCGAGCTGGCGGAAGGGAAGTCCCATAACCAGGCAGAAAATCCAGAGTGACATTCTTCCCATGAACTCAAGGCATTGTCCCCAGGCTCCCCTGACAACCCCCCCCACCCCCAGCCTAGGCTCCAGGGAAAAGTGAAGGGGGAGGGGAATCCCCTCCGCATCTGTTCCCGCATCTGTTCCAGGCTAAAGACCCTAACCTGCTTCAGGGATTTAAGAAGCAGGAGAATTAGTTTTCTGGCTTAGAGTGAGAACGAATGCAGAGTGGAAAAAATACTAAAACATTAGGAAGGAAATGCACCACATGCTTTATTAAAACAGTCAAACATCCAAGCAATTCTATGAACTAAGTCCCTTTGAAAAGTTCACCCTTGCTGAGAAAGATGTTTCGTTTTCAGGGTTCAGCTCAGAAACTGCCTGATGGACCATACGAGGGAGGGTAATGAGGAGGGAGGCAAGACGAAGGGGTTGGCGCCCCACCACGCAGTTGAAGGATTTGGAGGGGGTCTTTTTCCTTTTCTTATCATATTCTAAGAGAAGCAAGAGGGAAGGGTTAATTTCCAAGCAGGCTGGAGCAGGAAGCAAGCAAGGGGAAAGAAAGGGACTGGGGGGTTCCACTTAGAGGAGCCCAACTTGTTCTGTGCTCCAGGGCAAAATGTGCCAGAGAAATGGTAGAAAGATTTCAACTCTGACCCCTAATTCCATTCTCAAGGAGAACAGGAAAAAAACAATAGCAGCCCAGAGGATGGGGGGGAGGAATGTATGGGGGGGGGGAGTTTACAAAGACTGCAGAAGCTGAGAAGCAAGCAAGAATGTTTTCACTTTTTTTTTTCCCCTTAAGTTTGAGAAACTTAGTCAGACTCAACTTGCTTTTTAAACAACAGCAGCAGGCAGTGGACACATTTCACCACTGTCTCCAAGAGGAAAGAAAATAATTACAGCTTCCTCTGGACCACTGGGGCAGGAGGCTTTCATAATTAAAAAAAAAAAAAGTTCCCTAGGGCCTGGTTGTTTCCTTAAATAACTTTTTGAGAGGGATGGGGGTCCCTAAACAAAGAACCCCAGGGTCTCCAGTCTGTCGGACAAGAGGGTCGCTCAATTTAGGATGGGGGATGGGGTGTAACACATCAATCAAGTAAAAGCGGCTGCTTCTACCGCCCAGGCATCCTCCTGCCTCTGATCAGAGGCCCAAATAAACGCCATACCCTGGCTGCCCCCTGGCCCGGGAGCAGAGCCGGCGAGCGCGTTTAAATTACACTAAGTCAATCAACTGCTGGGGTCTCCACCTCGCCTCCCGAATGCCCCCCCCTTTTATTTTTTCCATTTAACCTGGTAGCAAGAACCCTCTATACGAAATAGTAGCGTTCCTTTTTTTTTTTTTTCTGCCAGGCAACCCACACTACAAAGTGCCAACAAGTCCTTTCGTCCCATCGCACAACCCCAGTAGAAAGAAGGATCTCTCGATGCGCCAGCGCTGCCTCCTACCGTCCTCTACTCAACGAGGTTCCCAGTATCACCAGCACCCGCAGCCTCCGCCTCCCTGCAGCGCCCCACATAAGCTCCACGTTTTCACTCCTGAAGATCTAACCAACGCTTCCTCCCTAGAAACTGCCTCCTCCAGATTAGAAGTCGGGGTACGTTCCACCCGGGGAAGACTACGGAGACAGGGATGCCCTCCCCCTCCCCCTCCCCATTCATACCCACCGAATTAGGAGACAGAACTCTTCCGCTTGTCCAACTCCAGTCCCTCCCTGGGCCTGACTTTCGGGTCCCCACTCTCAGCAGTCCCCCTAGTTCGGGTCCAAGACTCCACTCTTCCTCCCCTAAAACAATCCCTGGGGTCCCGCTGCACACTCCTTCGCTACCCAGCGGCAGCCAGCCAGGCTCCTCCGCTGCCCTCCAAGTTTCTCCCAACTAGCTGTCCAGCCCGCCTTACCTGCAACCTGCTCCGGGCTGGCGCCGTACTCCGCGTCCCGGCGCTTTTCGCAAGTGCCCTCGCCCATGACCAGCGCCTGCAGGGGCAGCTCGGAGTCCGGGTCGGGATAGCAGCGCAGCCCCTGGGCGCAGCGCGGGGTGTAGACGCCGCACGCCTCGCCCTCCATCCGGGCGCACACCGAGCAGCAGCCGCAGCCCGGCTCCCGGACCAGCTCCGCGCAGGGCGCACGAGCGCCGGTGGCCGCTCCGGCCACCGCGGCGGGTGGCGCGGCCGGCGGCGGCCCGCAGACGGCCAGGCGCTCAGGAGTGCAGAGCGGGCAGCGGAACAGCACCTCGGCGCGCGCCCCGAGGCCACCGCCTCCCACTCCCAGCAACAGCAGCAGCGGCGACAGCAGCAGCGGCAGAGCGGGGCCGCCCAGTCTCGGCAGCATGTTGGCGGTAAGGAGCGCGACGGCAGAGAGTGATCGGGCAGGTGGCACGGCCTGCGAGCGCTAGAGCCGCCTCCTTGGCTTCTTTCTCCTCCCCCGCCTCCGCAGCCGGGTCCTAAAGGGCCTGCTTCTCCCCGCCCCCTGCCTTCTCCCCTCCCTCTTTTGGAGACCACCCCCTTCCCCCGACACTCCGGCGCGCCGGCACGTGCATGCGCGCACGCCCACTCCGCCACCCCTCAGTGGATTCCTGTCTCTGCAGGTCCCCTCACCTTCCCGGCCACGTCTCTCCACGGTGGTCCTCTGTCCCTGGCTCCCAGAGAGTAAGAATAACTTGCAGGTTGAGGGTAGGATCGGGTTGGGAGTGGAGAGGACAGGGTGCTTTTGTCTCCTTTCAGTTCAGTTCTGAAGAAGTTAGTCGCGCTGCCCCTGTGGCCACGGCAGCGGAGCTGACTGCCCAAGAACACAGAGGACATAAGGCAGTCTTTACCTTCAAGTAGATTTCAGTCGGCTCACACCAACCCCTCCACCTTCGGGTATCACCCACTGCTGACACTTTGTGTGAAACAATGACTTGGTGTCAGGTGTGGTTATGGAGGTCCAGACCTGTTTAGACCGGGCTAGCCCCAAACAGGCTCTCTTAATGACCGTAGCAGTTTCCCAAATCCTGGAGCTTGTGACAGCAATAGATGAGATCCCCAAGTGCAGTTTCTGGGCACTGAGAAACTGTTCCCTTCCTCTTCCCCAAACCCCTTCCCTGTCCATCCCGCCAAAATAAACCCTTAGTAATTTGGGCCCCCACCTACAAATCCCGAGGCCTTTGCTGCAGAAGACACCCCTGAACACACTACTGCAGAGGTCTTGGAAGGTCACGTCAGCCCTCTAGGTGTGAGAAAATGCTCTGGGGTAAGGCCATTTATGGATTTCTCCCACAAAGCAGATGGACAAGTATGGCCTCCTTTCACTGACTTATTTGGAGAACCATCTCTCCAAGCTGCCCCAGCCCCCAGCTTTCCAGGCTGAGGTCAGCCTCAGTCATTGCCCATCTCCTTGGGTTGTAACCCTAACGATGACCCTTGTCAGAGAAATTCTCTCAGCCAGGGTTTAATTTCCCAATATGATAATGACTCTTTTCTATCTTTAAGGCTCAGAGCCCATTTGATTCAATTCAATAGCTACTCACCCAAGTGGCCACATGGCCCTGAAGGCGAGCTAGGTTCCTCCAGAAAGGCAAGTCCCTCGTCTTAAGAAACTAAGAGTTAGTAGGGAAGAGTTTGGTAAGACAAAAACAAGTTATTGTCAGAGTCTGAGAAATATTCTGTTAGAGAGGTGATGGGTAGGGGGAAGCAGGGAGTTTCCTGGGTGAGTCAGAATGGAAGGAGAAGCTTGGAATTCTATCAGGAGAAATGCAGGGTTGGCAAGGACACTCCCAGCATAGGGACTAGCCTCTGCAGCAATACAGGAATGGGAAAACAAGGGAGAGATCAGAAACTTAGTCTGACCCAGCATGATCGCTCACACATGGAATCCTAGCACTCTGGGAAGCTAAGGCAGGTGAATTGCCTGAGTTCACCTGTTTGAGACCAGCCTGAGCAAGAGCAAGAGCAAGACCCTGTCTCTAATAATAGCTGGGCATTGTGGCAGGCACCTATAGTCTCAGCTACTTGGGAGGCTGAGGCAAGAGAATCACTTGAGCCCAAGAGTTTGAAATTGCTGTGAGCTCTGATGCCACGCACTCTACTGAGGATGACAAAGTGAGACTCTGTCTCAAAAAAAAAAAGAAAGAAAGAAAGAAAGTCAGTCTGCTTCTGCCAGAGAGCTGAGCACTTGTTGAGGGGTGGACAGCAGGAGGGGCAGGAAATCCAGTTGACTCACATGGAGATGTGGTAGCTCCATTGGGTGAGCAGGGGGAAAAAGAATCCCTGCTTGAGCAGAGAAGTGAAATAGATAGAACAAGACCTTTGGAAATCACTCAAGCTGTGCAGAGTGCAGTTCTGATGGAAGTAAGGGGACACAACCTTCCTTGAGGGGACTTCATCTCCCTACTGGTGTGTGCCCTGGTGTTTATGCCTGCCTTGTCACTTGTCTTGTTGTTGGTCCCACCCATTGAGCTCCTATAGAGTGGGCACAAGGTCTAACAGAGTGCTTGTCCAGTAGAAATCTAATGCAAACTGCAACTGTAAGCCACATGTGCAATTTTAAATTTTGTGATAACCACATTAAAATATAGTGTAGGCTCGGCGCCTGTGGCTCAAGTGGCTAAGGCTCCAGCCACATACACCTAAGGTGGTGGGTTCAAATCCAGCCCGGGCCTGCCAAACAACGATGGCTGCAACCAAAAAATGACCAGGCATTGTGGCGGGTGCCTGTGGTCCCAGCTACTTGGGAGGCTGAGGCAGGAGACTCACTTGAGCCCAGGAGTTGGAGGTTACTGTGAGCTTTGATGCCACAGCACTCTACCCAGAGGGATAGCTTGAGGCTCTGTCTCAAAGAAAATAAAAAATAAAATATAAAATATAATGTAAAGAAATATGGGACATACACTGCAAAGTTAATATCCTTTAACTTAATACATCCAAAATATTATCATTTCAATGTGTAATCAGTATTAAAAAGTTGTTTGTTTGGTTTTTTTTTTTAGGGACGGAGTCTCACTTTGTTGCCCTGGGTAGAGTACCGAGGTGTCATAGCTCACAGCAACCTCCAGCTCTTAGGTTTAGTTGATTCTCTTGCCTCAGCCTCCCAAGTAGCTGGTACTACAGGCCCCTGCCACAACACCCAGCTATTTTTTTGTTGCAGTTTGGCCGGGGCAGGGACTGTGTTCAAACCGCCCACCCTTGGTATATGGGGCCGGGGCCCTACTCACTGAGCCACAGGCGCCACCCTCTATTAAAAAGTATTAATTGAAACATTTAACATTCCCTTTTTTCATACTAAGTCCTCAAGCTCTGATGTGTGTCTCATATAGCACATTTCAATCTGAACTGGCCAAAATTCAAATGCTCAATAGCCCCATGTAGCTAGTAGCTACAATTGGACAGTACACAGATCTAGAATATAGTTCCTGGCACCTGGTAGGCACTTAAGAAGTATTTGTGGAGTGAATGAAAGGTACTACCTAAAAAAATACTCCTGGCAGAGCCCTCATTTTCTTTCTGTCTTCCGAATGCTGCTCAGCAGCTGGAGATGAAAAGTGGTAAAAATTCTCCTTAAAGGCTAAGAGTGACACTCATTTTTCATCCAGCTACTCACTTCTCTTTTGAGATCCATTCTCTTTCTACCTCCTTTCAAAGTTCTTGATCTCTTAGCCAAGTACTGTGAGATGAGCAGGCAAAGTGATGCTGACTTGACAAATGCCAAGAACTCAATTAGATTTCTCCTTTTTTTTTTTTTCCTTGAGATATTCTCATTTTGTCACCCTGGCTGGAGTGCTGTAGTGTCATAGCTCATTGCAATCTCAAACTCTTGGGTTCAAGCTACCTTCTTGCCTCAGCCTCTCGAGTAGCTAGGACTACAGGTGCTACAACCCCCAGGTAGTTTTTCTACTTTTAGTAGAGACAGGGTCTCACTCTTGCTCAGGCTGGTCTTCAACTCCTGAGCTTAAATAATCCACAGGCCTTGGCCTCCCAGAGTGCTAGGATTACAGGCGTGAGCCATCACTCAGCCTCTCTTTCTGATCAGTCTGAAGACCACACTCCATTTCATTCTCAGGTGAGTAGCCAGTTTTGTCCCTCTCCCCTCTAAACACACATGCACATGCACATGCATTCACTCATAACAACCCCGTCTTTTTAAGGCCTTCTGTAACCACCCGAGCCTCAGAGTCCCAATCCCCAAAAGCCAGCTGCCACAGAGGCTTGAGTCTCAGAAACCCTCAATCTGCTGGAGCCTAGAGAAGTAGAAAGACTCGGCCAGGGCCCTAGGCCTAGGTGCCTGGCTGGCCTGAGACCCGGCCACTTACTCATCACTGTGGGCCGAGGGCTAAGAATAGTGCCTGTCACACAGACACTCAGTAAATATTTGCTCAGTGGACCCAGGTTCTCCTCTCACGTCTCTTGCTTTGCCCACTGATTGTTCATGAAGGGCTCATTACTTTGAATTTCTCATGAGTCCTCTGTGAAGGATCTGTCCCTAGGCGTGAGAGCCTGTCTGTGCCCGGCAGTGAGGACTGGTTGAGAGATGCAGGCAGGCCAAGACTGGTTTTCTTACCCTTCCCCTTAATCCCTGCAGTTTCTCATTTGAACAGTGTCTCATAAACCCCACCCTCACATAGTTTACTGTAACTAGGTACCACTTGTACTGTTATTTACATAATGATTTTTTATGTAAGTCAATTCATTTTTTTTTACTTAAGGCCATTTTTAAAAGAAACTTTATGTCACTGCCATAAATGGAAACCCAGTATTGATGGCCATATATAGATGGTAACCATAAAAATAAACACAATGAAAACAAAACAATGTTATTTGATTCATGCTGGATACGGTTGCTTGCTAAAGCCTCTGACTCGGCATACTGTCCCCTAGTTAAAAAAGATGAGCCAGTATAAGAAAAGTGTTAAAGGCAAGCCAGACCCAAGCTGGGATTTTCTTCATCAGAAGGATAAGAATGTTTCTAAAAATATTTTATTGAAATATAATATACATGCAAAAAAGCACACCTGTTATAAATGTGATAAATAGTCACAAATTGACATACTGTATAACCAGCATCCAGATCAAGAAAAAGAACACTGACAGCACACAGAAGCCCCCTCATGCTGCTCCCAGTGACCACCCACACCCACCGGGGGTAAACAGGACCCTGACTTCTGGCATGGATGACTTTTGCATTGTTTCTGTTCTTGCATTGTAAATGAAAATATACAGTGTGCAGTATTGAGAAGTCCCTGCCTTCCTTTGGTTTTCCTGAAGCAATTTTATGTCCAACATCTCTGCTGCCTTTTGCCTACCATTTTGCATGGAAGATCCACCCATTATCTTTGCACATGGTTGTACATTAGTCCTTCTCATTGTTGGGTAGCCTTCCTCAGTGTGACTACTGCACGATGTTTTGATCCGTTCTGTTGTTGAATGGGCATTTGGATACTATCGTGAAC